GATATATTGATGAAGAACAACATATGCATATGTATCATTAGAATAGAGAATAAGAAATGTAGTCGAATGTTCAACTATCATAAAACAATTCACGAACAATCAGCGCTCATCAAAACAAAAGTTCAAATAAGTGTATAAACACCATTTTTTCTATAGAGTGTAGTCTAACGAAACTCACCCTATTGGGCTCCAGTAGACAGAAATTAGCCTATCAATAGCTGTCTAAAATAAATTTTCAACCTGTATTAGAAGAGAATATGAAAGATCGATCTTCAACGTCAAAATTTTCACTATGAAGACATGAGACGATGAACATTCTGAATTGTCAAGGAATTGGACGTACACAAAATCATATGAAAGTATATATATATATTGATCGAGAATATTCCACAGATCTAAATCTATGTGACTTCTTTCTGCTACTAAAACTGAAAATATCAATTACACAAAATTAAACTCAATGACAACAATTCAATGTTATACATGCTTTAAGCAATCATTAATGACCTCTCAAAAAATGATCTCAAGCTTCACCTTCATAACTTATTTTAATCGAATGTACCAATGCATTGTTGACGAGAGGGGATACTTTTAAGAAAATAATACTAGAATCAGCCTTTGAATATTTCTCTAAAGAGTTTAGCGGAAAGAAAAACTTTTCTAGTGTTTCATATACATTTCTAATCATTAATATTTATTATTTTGCTTACTTTTCGAAAAATTAAACCCATATAAGCAATACGCATTTGCGCAGCAATAAGATCAATTTTATAAAAATACTAAAACAATTAATCATATGTTATATATACATATATAATTATGAAAATAAAAACATATACCTCATTAAAAATAGTACCCGAGATTAAAGAAGCAATAATAGTACCTATTGCAAAAAGCAATGCTTGCCAAACAGGTATTGTAGAACATGGTTCAAAAAATTTCATAAGAAATGTTAATAATAATGGCTGAGCAATTTTCATCAGTCCCTATATAATAATATAAAATGATTTCTTCTATTTTCGTTTAAGAGACTTTTAGATCGAAATTGGAACAAAAAAAAATATAAAAGATTGATATTGCTACATTTTTCTTGATTGAAAATACAATTTCGATATATCATAAAAGAATTGTCTATTGGTTTCAAAAACAAACGAAAAGATCAACTCACGTTTAATACTTCAAGAAAACCAAGAAGAAATGGTTTCCATCCTAGAGTACGTAAAGTTGCTCGAATTAAGCTTGGTTTCTGTGGATTTCGTTTAACTTCATTGAACCAATTTGTTTCGAGTTTATCCGTAAGTGTTGATGATTTAAGATGATCAGGAAGATCATAAAGATCATTTAAATACAATGTACCTTGTTTACGACTTTTCTTTAATAAAGGTGATACCCAACTATTGAAATAATTAAACTATTATTTATATTTGAAAGAAAAAAAAAGAAATAAATATGATCACTTACTGATGAATAAATCGTGAAAATTTATTAGCATGTAGATAAGGAGCAGAATCGATCGAAGAATTTGATGACATCTATATGAAAACAATATGTTTTTTTTTGTGGCTTGTGCGTTGTACTTTTTTTTTCTATCTAGTTCTCTTGTTGTATTAAATATCAGCTATAATATAAAAGCATCCTGTGATACATACAACGAAAAACAACAAGAATCTATGAGTCAATGAAACGATCTTTTTCTTCTCTATAACCATATGTTGACTGTCTCAGATAAGTACACTGCGTATATATCTAGATACGCAATCAATTAAATAGTATTTATCTAATGTAACTAGAAATGATGAAATATTTCGTCAGTACATGTGCTGATATTCCAAGTGAATAATTATTTAAAAAAAAACGATCTGAAAAATACGAAATCCTTTGAGATATTAGAATTAGTACTAAATAATCGAAATTTTTCATATAATTGAAACCCAGAATAACAAATTACATAAAAAATACTATAGAGTAAATTCATGGGTATCCAACCATTCATTTGGAAAAAGTTTATTTTTATCACCTTTTTCATGCTAATGAGATGGAAAATAGTTAGAAGATAACTTTAGTCAAAAAAACTTATTGACTTTTTACATGAAATAGCTGACATTTATTGAAGTATTTTCTCGAAGCATCTTATGAGGACCATCGAAATTATTGTAATATTTTGTGTTTATATTTTGCCAACTAGTAGAAGATCAATAGACTAGAATAATCATCAAAGAATTCTTCATTCGATTGAGATTTAATAGAAATATAAGTGTTTCAAAATATAATATCTTTAGAAAATTATAGAAATATGGAAATTTTCTGTATTTTGAAAACATTCATGTCTGGATCAAATCTCAAGCAAAAGAAAAATCCTTTGGTGATCGTTCTGATCTATTAGTTCTCTACTAGTACTCAAAATATGAGCTCAAAATATTGTAATACCTTCGATGGTCTCCATAGTATGTTTCAAGAAAATACTTCAAATCTTTCAGCCATTTCATGTAAAAGTCAATAACTTTTTTCGACTAAAGTTATTTTCTAACTATTTCCCATCCAACTACCATAAAAAAAAACTTTCCATAACTGGACTCAGATACTGTACCCATTAGCCGACTAGACCTAATCGACATCTGGCAGATATTTTCACAGTCACGGTACGGTTTTCAGACTTTTATTTTATATGAGAAAGTGTACTCTCTAGTTTCTTCTATAAATATGATTCAGGATTCATTTCGTGTCTTTCTGCTTGTAAAATCCGATCAACTTCGCTGAGTATAAGTTTGCTTGTTGTTGATGCCGCTAGAATTTAACGCAATGTTGTTGCCAAACTTCATAATTGTGAATATCTATATATGAATACTTTTTCCATCACGACAAGATATATTTACCTTTTTGATAATTCATTTTTCCTTTTCATTAATTCAGTTACTTCATCATATGGGTTTATCATCATCTGTAGATGAATTTTCATTTGAAACGAATTCTCTCGATAAAACAATTTCTTTTTCCGCTTCCTATGACCTGTTCTCAAGTACAATAAATTGCTCAATCACGATCGAACTGATTTTCACTTCTATGGTTTTATATAAGTTAACAGTTTGAAAACGTTAAAAATATTTTGAAATATCAAGGTCTCATTAATTGCCGAGTCGAATCCAAGTATGAGATTATACTCGGGACTCGAACTCATGCTTCAGGTTGGGTCGGATATCGGGTACCCGACCCAACTGCAAGATACTAATACCCATCGATTTACTCTATACCAAATTAAGCTGATTTTTTTTACCAAAAGAAAAATAATCTGCTAAATTTTCTTTGACATAGTGCATTTCATTTATCAATAAAACTATTTTAAAGAATTGTTTTTCATAACTAACCATTATATGTCTGGCAATAAATGTTATATATGCCATACAATTAATAAAACACATCTATTTATTAATAAATCAATATGGTTAATTCGAATCATTTGCCTAACTACTATAATGGAATGTAAAGACTAATAGTTCTATTTGTATTCACATGAAAAATATCAATATTCATCTAGATTGGTTAGTTTCGAAATAATTAGTTGATTGTATAAATGATAAATTATTTGTTTAAATTTTATTTAGTTATCTGAATATGGTTTTTTTTTCAAATTAAGTTCATTGATAATAATATCCACTTTTCTCAAGGCTACGATAAAAAAACCCCTTTAATCATGCGCCTCTCTCAACCAGAACTAACATACGATATAAATAATTCATCTACGTCGTAGACTCATTTACCTCTTTTGAACTGATGTGAAAATATCGAAGATATGAATAATTATAACTCTTTTTTTTTTATCTTAGTATGTCGTTAAAAGCAAAGTTTTATTTTTTTTTATTAGATTATTTTATTGTTCGATGAATACGCAAGTGTAATGCATATATTTTAATTATCAATATATTTCTGTATAACTATTTATGTACTTGAAATTCGATTGTATACACTTCATTACTAATGAATGCTGTTCAGCACGTCTAGTAATTAATTCAGGCATCGCAGTGTGTGTCATGATCTCAGCAAAACTCTTTCAAAAAAAATGACTCCTTCATTTAGTTTATCAGGACTCTGCGACTTATGTGAATAAACAAAAATACGAAAAAAGTACATTCAGATAACAATCTCTTCTGTTCTTCTTGGATAAAAGAAAAAGCAATGTATTACAATTAGTACTAATTTACATTTTCCGTCAAGTGAAAAATCAGTATTTGAAAAAAGATAATTACAATTGTCCTTTATTTTTGATAATTTTCATTAATATCATATTCTTCATTATTAAAGATTAATATATAGGATAACTTAAAGATTTCAAGATGAAAGAAAAAAAAACTTTCCGCTTGTCTAATTCAGCTTCATATATAAGTGTATTTAGAGAAGAAATCATGTTAATGCATTGCTTTTTTGATCTATGAATCTGAGTGATCCTTAAAATAGATGTGGTTTGAAGTAAACCATCAGTTCTAAAAGTACATTTTGACAAACAATTATTCTATATGAGAAAATTAAATAGAAGATTTTTTTTCTCTCTCTCTTTTAATACAACTACTGTTAGCTTAAAGTTTCTAGATAGAATCAATGCGCGTCATTTATTGTGGACTTTGCTTTTGAAAATTAAACTCATAGAGTATTGTGCACGTGAAAAAAAATTTCTTTTTATTTTTAGACTTTTATTAAGGATACTGAACTGTTTTTATTTCAAGGTTCATTATTTAAACATCAAATAGTCAACTTGTTTTTTCAGTTTTTAACTGTGAAGAAAAGTTAACATGGTTCGTCCGCATTGTAAAATGCACTTTAAAAGAAAAATTCATGTCTTATATTTTTTTTAGAATCTAAGTATCAATTAAAATAAACTCAATCTGATATTTTATTTGGTAAATTTATACATCGACATATATATATATATCATATCAGACAACACAATTACAATATTTACTAATTCATTTTAGTTTTTGACACTTGCTGCTTTCATAAATTCAATCAAGATGGATTCAAATAAAGTGGAAATGATTGTTGTTACTATTTTTCAAATTCCATCCTTCTGTTGTGCTATGATTATTTTCTTTAAATTTCTTGAAAAAACAAGTCCATTAAGACGTTTACAAAACCAGTTACTTATGTATTTATTAATCTTTGCTACATGTACTATTATTATTGAATTACCTAATACACAAAAATTCCTTTGGACAGGTTCTGTCACTATTCAGAGATATTGGTTTTGTTATTTTTGGAATATACTATTTTCTGCTATGGCTACGCTTAATCGTGCTCTAACAGCATTCATGTCTATTGAACGTCATTTTCTTGTATTTCATCCTCATATCTATCGTACTAGTCGTTCACGTTTTTTATTTCATTACAGTCCTCTCATATGTATTATCGTAATCATTATAATCTATATATCAGTCACACATATCTCCGTTACATGTCCAAATCATCCGTTCAATTATTCGATGTTTTTGTGTGGTTATACATGTGCATCGATTGTAGAAAATTTTGGTACAACTTACGTATGGTTATATGTTTTTTTACCAACAATGGTGACAACTATTGCTTGTTTATTATTACCTATTCGATTTATTATTCAGAAACGACATTTTCAACGTATACAATGGTATCGTGCACGAAAAATGATTATTCAAACAAGTTTTATTGCTAGTATATATACAATTTGTTGGTTACCAAATGTAATTATTCTTCAATTACTTATCAATAAACATATATCTACAATTAGTCCAGTTATAAATTTATTTTTAACATTTACACCATATGTAACTTCATTATTAACTCCATTCATTGTTCTTCATACAGCATCGGGATGGATAAGACCTGCAATAATACAACGAATTAAATGTCGGTTGTTTCCACCACGTCAAGGAGTTATTCAACCAATTACTAACTTAGTAGTTAATCAAGCAAATCATTAAATGATTAACAAACACAATCTAATTATATATTAACTATAAACAAAACGATGAAGAGTATATTGTGATTTATTTTTTGAATTCGATCAAAATAATGAAATATATTCAATAATTTCTTTTTAATGATCGCAAAATTCAAATTAGAATAATAGAAATTTATTAAGTTTGATTTCTTTTAATTGTTACAAAAAATTCAATATGTCTAAATTGAATTTATAAAAAAAATTAATCATGATCTTTATCTTTAAAACATATTATCAAAATAGGCACTCAGATGAAACAATTAGACGATAGAATTTTACAAAATCGTTCTATTACTTTTGTGAAATCAGCTGAAAATCGTAATCTCAGAAATCTTAATTAAGATTTCTGAGATTACGATTTTCAGCTGATCTTACGTCTGATTTTATGACTTAGATATTTTGTTAATTTATAATAAATTGTTTTTCTGTCTTACAATAATATTAATTGAAATATATATCACAGAAAACATGAGTCTATTCATTTCAGTAATCTTGTAAATGAATACAAAAGTTGATTATCAAAATTTTTCTTTGAAACAATCATCAACAGATATATCTACATAAATCATGTATTCGAAATTAAATATCCTATTTTAGAACGAATTTAATGATGAAAATCATAGGTGTTAATACCTATGAATGAATGCAATTAAATAAAACTAGAATTAATATTAAAAAAATCTTAAAATTCATTAGAAACAATAATAAAGCAAAAAAAAGATCATATGTTTATACAACATGAAATATTCATCGATCAATGTCATATGAAAGAAAGATTTGAATTCATGTTACAGTAAAGAAAAGTGATGCGATAATCGAAAGTTTATGGAATATGTTATAAACTCTTAGATACTCATTTGACAAATGGATATAAGTCATATTTCTCATTCAATAGATATCTAAAACCTAGATAATTTACGATATTGAGTGTTTTTATCGGTTTATGAGATTATATAGATTTACTCCTTTATATATAGATGTGAATATTATTCCTAGTACATATACAATATGTTGATTATTATCTTTCAATTAATATCTGCTTATCGTGTTTCATTAAATGAATATTATTTATCAAGATTTGTGAGTTTTCAATTAATTCTTAATTGTTTTCTATATTGGCAAAGTATTTTTCATCGATAAACTATATTAATAATACAAAATTAAAATCTTATTAATACAATTGAAGATTTTATTTTAAATTCAAAAATTAAAGTATTTCTTTTCTTGCTGTTATTTCGTAATTTATGTAAACAATTTATAGATATTTTTCATTGAAATAAAGTATTTATTTAAAGAAACAATAATCATATGAAAATTATATTATACATATTGATTAGTTGATTCATGTACAAGTATTTCTTGTCTATATAGAAATTTTCTATTCTTTGTAAATTAAAACATCTTTAATTGATATTGCAAAAGTCAAGAATAATTTTGATTTAATTTATTCTAGAATTTCCGTTATTTTTCATTTAATTATACACAACATTAGATATCTAAATGTACCTTAATATAAGCTAATAAACTCATCATGTTTGCTTTCTTATCATCTTCTTCTTTCAATATACATGTCTATATATTGCATACAATCATCATATACAATGAGTGATTGATGATAGTCTGATGTTTATATATGTTTTTTAGCTATCGTCTTAACACGTTAGTCTATCTTATACATCTAATCAATCGTTCTTTTTTTCTTACGGTCACTAAAATCAGACACATTCAATATAAATGATGATGAGAAATTCCGGATATCGTTGATCAATGACATTTTAATAGTATACTAAGTACAAAAATTTGATTTAATATATATTTTTTTATTTTTCGAACTATTAAAAAATAAATACTAGAAGAGAATCAATTCAATAATCAAAATCCATTACATTAATCAAAATAACAATATATATATTTTTTTCTTTCAAAAGAACAAAAAAAAATTGTATATCAGAAATATGCCTGAGGAGTAATTAACGATAGAAGAGAAGTATTGTCTACTCTATTGATGATTGAATGCACCAATAATATCAACAAGAGTTAAGATCGTTCGTTTGCTTATACGTTTTTTTTTTTCAAATATATCTGCCGTTGGTAGCAACGGCTTTCTCTCGTGTTCGTCCGCTGTTTCTCTTCTTATTTTAAGAGAGAAAAAAATGTTTCGCTAGTCGGTCATTCTTCTAAACAAAAGCTGAATTTTCTTCTTCTTCTTCTTGTTCTTGTTCTTCTCTCGTTCTTTCTTTATTCTTTCGTGTCCGATTCATTTCATTAGAGAGAAGAGCCAGCAACGGTCGTCATTTCATTTTCTTTTCCTTTATTCTTCTTTCGTGGAACATAAAGAATGTCAGCCGAATTTCCCAATAGCTTTTATAACAATAATACAAATCGTATGTTTCCAAATTAAATGTGCTTTTTTTTTTGAAAATAAAAAAAAATGTATTTTTTTTCAGGATGGATGGGTAATGCTTATGAACCTGGTCAAAGTCTTAATTTAACACCACAGGTCGAAAAACCATGTCCACTTGTTCCACCTGTCATTGTTCCTTATATTTATGGATCACCTATCGGATGGAATGCAGTGGTATGTGAAAAACTTTGTTTTATTATATTAAAATTTCATTTTTGTTTTCTTGTATAAAGATTGTTGGTTTATTATCTTGTTTACTTGCTTTGGTTTTTCTTTTGACATGTCTTTATTATATGGCTTTTCGTCGTCGTTATATGAAAGAAGTATCGGAATGTCCATCACCTGTAGCTCTTGTTGAAAAAACATCAGCATCAGCAAATTTGGTTACAAATACATCACAAACAGCTACAACAACATTTATTAATGAAACTGGTAAAGATACAAAAGTTAATACATTAAACGAACAAACAATAGGAACATCAGGTACTGGCGAATTTGTTGGTATGTCAACACTTGTTAATGGACATACATCACCATCACGTACGAATGGTCTTTTGGCTAATGGTAATGCTGATCAATGTGAACTTCGTTTACTTCAACATGAAGATCATTAAAAAATCAATGAGTAAAAGTATTTAGGAAATTTTTTTTTCGTTTTTGTTGTATTTATGTTACTTGTATTCGAATAATGAATGAATACATGAAATGATCTTGTCGTTGGTTCTCTTTATGTATGTATGTATGTGTGTGTGTCTATGTGTATTTAAATATTCGTGCAATTATATGTGCTTCTTCTTGATGTGTTTATCTTTATTTGTGGAAAAATAATATAAATATCATTTATCATCCTTTCATAAGTCATTAATAAATATCACTAATTCGAAGAAAAATTTATTTCGATCTTGTCAAAAGAAGAAAACAATTAATAAATCACTTTTTATACCATACATGTTAATAGAAGGGGCACTACCAAAGTTTTTTTTTTCGTCAGCCCTTTGAAGAAATAAATATTCGAAGTCTAATTCTAATATGGTTTTCTAAAGTATCATCCTTCATTAAAAGTACACTGATGCCTTCGATTAAAATAGCTTGTGAAAATAGAGTTTGAGATAAATTTTTAGAGGATTGTTAATGGCTACTGAAAGCATGTATCACATGAGATTGCACCTGTTGAATCTAATTTTGTGTAGTTGGTATTTCAGTTTTAACACTAGATAGGACTCGCGTGGGTTTAGATCTGTGGAATATACTTTCATATGATTTAGGTCGATAAATTCATTGTGAGTTTAGCATGTCGATGGTCTCGCGTTTTCATAGTGGAGACTAGCACATCGAATACTGTTCTTCTATTTTTCTTCTGAAGCAGTTTGAAAACTCACGTTAGGTAGCTATTGACTGGTTAACTTCTATCTACTAGATCCGAATGGAATGGGCTTCGTTAGGCTACATTTTGTAGAACAAAATTCATGATATACTTGTTTGAACTTTTATTTTGATGAGCTTTGACTGCTCGTGGGTTATTTAATAACCATTGAGTCTTTGACAACATTTCTTATTATCCTTTATTCTAATGATATAACTATGATCGATCACTAGTGAATAATGTCAAATATAATATTGAAATTGGTACATTCCAAGTCCTTCAGAAAATCATGAAACAATTGAACATGGAACTACTTTCAGTCATCAATAAACTAATAATGCACTTATCGAGTATAAAACATCGTAGAATTTTAAACAAATAGACATGATTGGTGGTGAAATTATGATTCGAGTGTCTTCTATTAATTTGTATGTCTCATGGAAGCTATCTCCAATTATTGTTCGGCCAGCATCAACTGTTTCTGTGTAAACAGCAGCTGAACAGACAACCTGAACTTTCTCGGTTGAAATTCATGAGGCCTATTATGAACTATCTAATCTGAAGCTTCTCGATTCCAACTACGCCTGTATTAAAAGGTCATACCTTTCATGTAAGTTGAACCAATTTTCTATTCATATAAAATCATAGTTCGAAATCGATCTCGTAAATCATGATCTGAACGAAATATAAGAATATGACATTATACAAGGCATAGAAGTTTGAAATTTTGTACGTAATCGTAAATAACTCTATGCATTATTATCGAATACTTGACTTTAAAATACAACTTTTAGGGAGCAGACGAAAAAAAAACTTTTGTAGCACCCTATGTAAGTTTGTTTTACTTTATATAAATGAACTTTCTAGGTTCCATTCAAAGCTAAAATAATTGTCGAAAGTATGAAAAATTTTTGTTTTGTTTTATTTCGTAAAACTGAACTTTGATTTTTTAGTTGAACGTGATATATTTAATGAAATACTATCTATCCTTTATCACTTTCAATGATTTTTGTTTTTGATTTGATTGATTGATTGTTTTTCAAAAATTTAGGTCGATAAAGTATAACGAAACATTTTAAAATATGTCTCGAAAAAAGAAAAAAATTCAGATAACACTAAATGATTTTCTTACGAAATCATCTTATTGGGTAATCTGATTTTTCTATGTTCTTGTTGTCATCAGTCATTCACTTGCTATATTGTGAGTGTCATTCTAATAAATGTCAAAACTGATTTTATCATTTTGAATAAGACGTTTTTCGAATGATAATGAAAATTAACAGGGAAAAAACTCAGAAAGTAAAGTTATGTGAAAATATTGCATCAATATTATTGTATTAAACAGGTCGACCCTTTCTACTTGACGTCGCATATTTCCAACAAAAAGGTAAAAAAGGGTATTTTTATTATTGCGAAATAGAAATAAAAAAAGAAAGTATGCTAAAAATTTATTCTACACTAATCGAAATAAGACCGATAAATGTAATTTGACATAGCACTTATTAATAACTACAGGGTTCGTAAAGTGTATGAAAGATGATCATTTTTTAGACCTTTCTTTTCATTGTTCTGCTTGATTGACTATTCGTACGCGTTCTCGGCATACTTTAAGTTTGACAGTCAAGTATGATATAACTATGTTTTGTTATTTTGTTAGCTATATGCTTATTTTTGATGCATCAATTAGTACACATTATTGACGATTATCAATAAAAAAAAAAAACAAACAAACTATGGTTTGTGACTGAATGAATTGTTTTTCGTTTGTCAACATCTTATATTTATTTCTAATAGGCTCTCCAAGCACATGTAACTAGAAATAATCTTCGAAAGCCTCAAGTTTTAACTTTAGGCGATTATGTACGACAAAATGTATGTTCATAATAAAAATGATACTCTTTTATTTTTGATTGAAATCTTTTTTTATTCAATAGAATTTAACTTGGAGTGGACAAAATTATGCAAATGTACAACGTGATCTTGATTGGTATCAATATGTAAGACGACAAGCAAATATGCCAATTCAACGTGGTATTCCTTATGGTAAAAGACCAAGGCCTAAAATTCAATCACGAACTCAAAGTGTAATTCTATCTAATAATAATAAGGTTGGTCTAAGTAAAATAAATTCTAATGCTCCATCAGTTACTTTAACATGGCTTGATTTACAAGCTGAAATACCACCAAAAGATAAAGGTATTACACGAACAATAACAAAAGCACTTTGTCGAACGAAAGAAATTAGTGAATCAAAAATATTATTAAAAGGAGGTAAGAATTAAAAAAGATTACTTTTCTTCTTATTTAAAATTTTAATTAATTTAGTTAGTGGTATTGTTAAACCAGGTCAATTATTAGCTATAATGGGTGCTAGTGGTGCTGGTAAAACAACATTAATGAATCTTTTAGCACATCGTCGACCTGGTGCATTAAAAATTGCTGGTGAAGTAAGAGTAAATGGAACAAAAATGGGTCGATATATAAATCGAGTAGCTGGTTATGTTCAACAAGAAGAATTATTTATACCATCAATGACAACAAGAGAACATTTATATTTTCATGTATAATTATTTTTATATTTATGTCGAGTATTTCTCGTGAAAATTTTTCTTTAGGCTATGTTAAGATTAAATCGTGATATGTCAAAAGAACAACGTATTAATCGTGTTGAAGATTTATTGATTTTTGTAAGTAAATATAAGTTTGAAGAAATTTTAATTTTATTTTTTTGATATTTATCTTGAATAGTTAAACTTAAAAAAAGTTGAAAAAACAGTTATTGGTCAACCTGGACTTATCAAAGGTTTATCTGGTGGTGAAAAGCGACGTTTACTTTTTGCTTCTGAAGTATGATTTCTGTTTTCTAATTATGATTGTAATGATAGTTTAATTTGTCTATGAAAAAATAGGTACTTTGTGATCCACCATTATTATTCGCTGATGAAGTAATTTTTTTTTTTTAAGAAATTGTTTTCCAAAAGAAATATTTATTTTTTCTATGTTGCTGCAGCCAACATCAGGTCTTGATGGAAGTATGGCATTTACTATATGTGATGCAATGCGTAAATTATGTAATCAAGGTAAAACAATTGTATGTACAATTCATCAACCATCAAGTGAAATTTTTCAATTATTTGATACGTAAGTTTGAGTAATGTTTTTACTAGTTTTAAAGTTCTTATATATTTTATATTTAGACTTTATTTATTGGCTGAGGGACGTGTGGCTTATTTTGGAGAAAGAAAAAACGCACAAACATTTTTTAGTGGGTAAGTCAATGAGATATATTATAGAAATTTTTCTTATATTTAATAATCAGTTGTCAAATATAGAAAAATTCAGTATAGAATTATTAGGAAATGCTGAACACTTTTTTTCATGAATAATACGAAATAGTAAAATATTACATGATCAAGGTTATCGTAATATGGTACTTCTATCTTGTGGAATTAAAAAGCATCCTTATTGTTCGATATCTTCGTCTATTTTCTTTTACAATGGTTAGAATTAATACTTCAAATATGAGTAAACATTTTAGAGATTGACAATTTTAAGAGGAACATGAGACTGGAATACCAACTTGAAGTTTGAATTCGATTAATAAAAATGAGAAAAAAAAATGTTTCCAATTTCTGTTCTTGAAAAATATCGTTGCAGTTCATGCAAACTTGTGATAAATGTTAAAATGTTTTATCATGACACTGAGGAATATTACTCGACAAGATACAAACAAACAAATTGATAATAGTAAAAAATGTTTTTACTCCCCTTCTATAGGTATAAGGAAATAAGTTAACAGTTTAGTTTTTTCCATTAACATTAGAATTCAATGTAGTAAATGAATAGAAAGTTTTCTCCTGCTGAAATGATACAAGGATAACAAATTAGGCATTATCTTATTCTAGTAAAAAATACTGAATTCTTATTAATAGTACTTGAGCACTCATTACGAGTAGAAACATTTTAAAGTCGGACACTTAGGTACTCAAGAAGTGCTTTCAATTAACTCACATCCTCAATAGTGAAACTGAAAATATAATTTTCTAAATCTGTAATAAACGAGAAAAATATTATGCCAAGCATCTAATTGAAATTCATTTCACTTTTATAACTTTAAAATAATTTATCGTATCAGAAATCCATTTTGTTATTTCTCGAAGCAAATCATATTGTCTTGTTTGTTATTACCAAATAAATTACATTAATAGGAAATGTATTTAACATAATAGAACAAAATGTTCACAACATGACGTTAATGAGTTTATCTGAAGTTAAAAATCATCTTTGATATATAATATTGCTCCAAACCTAACACTTTTCCCTAGATCGAAGCTTTAAACGAATCACTTTATTCGCAATCAAGTTCAAGTAATTTCAATCGATATATAATAGAAATCAAAAGCTGTTGAGTCAGATCATAATAAAAAAAAGTGACTCTAGATGTTTGTTAACAGATACTATATCATAACTAGTGATGAGTAGGGCCAATCGTTTTTTATTCTAGTTTCACGCTTAGTGACACATGCACTAGCAAAAATGTGATATGATTTTCTAGCAGTGACAATAAGCTCGATATATTTTGCACAACTTGCATGAACTCTAGCATTCTTTCTCTTGGAGGTTCATTACTTTTTTTAATTTACTAATACCTTGTCTATTCTGCACGTTTATATGCTCGACAATTGTGTGCTCTATGAAAATAAGAATTCGTTCTTCTATCAAAATTTTAATAGCACATATTGAAGTGATCGTTTAAAAAAGATATCATTCCCAATGAAAAAGTGATGGTTTTTGTTCCGATCTCGATGGAACCGAGACCAACTTACCCATATTTAATCATAACTTTATTTCTTTCTAGATTTACATTTGTCAATTGTTAACTATTATATTTTTAGATTGGGTTTCAATGCACCAGATAATTACAATTTATCGGATTTTTATATACAAACATTAGCTATACTATCATTTAACAGAGAAAATTCACTAGAACGTGTCAAAGTAAATATTAATAAAACAAATGAAAACAATTTTTCATTATTTTCTTGTTACATAGTATATTTGTGATGAATATGAAAAATCACCACTTTATGCTGAACATATTGCCGAAGTTCAACCATATCATACTATTGATGATGATCAATCAGCTTCATCTAGTAGATTATTTAGTCGTTCACCAAAGTTTGTTGTCAATAATAAATATAAAGAGATCAAAACATAATTCATATTTAGATATAAAACTAATTTTTTCACTCAACTTCGTTGGTTATTATGGCGTTCATCTATTGATGCGTTTAAAAATCCATTTGAATTTCGTCTTCGTTTTATTTTATCTATAGTTATTAGTATTCTTTTTGGTCTTCTCTTCTTACGCTTACAATATGATCAACAAGCATTTCAAAATATATCATCAGTTATATATTTGTTGATTATTAATATGTCATTTTTAACTGTTCAACACGGTTCTAATGTAATTTGAAATAAATATTTCTTAGATTTTTTTTAATTTTTAACTTTATTTTATTCTTTTTTTTTTGGCTAGAGTTATAATCGACAATTATCATTATTTTTCAAAGAACATGATGATGGAATCTATCGTACAATACCGTATTATGTATCAAGATTTGTTCTAGAATTACCAGTAATTGGAATATCAGTGTTTGTATCGGGAACTATTGTTTATTGGATGGCAAATTTATATAATAATGCTCGAACGTATTTTATTTTACAAGGTATTCTTATTTTATGTGGTCTAGTTGCAACCTCTGTGGGTAAATCAAATGGAACTAGAGGAAAATTATTGTATCTGATCTATATTGTTGTGTTCTAGGAGGGCTTATAGGAGTCTCTACACCATCACCTGATGCTGCTGCTGCATTTGTTGTTCCAATTGTTATTCCACTTCTTGTCTTTGGTGGTCTTTTCGTGAATATAAAGTAAAATAAAATAAAATGAAATAGAATATCGAGAAGTTTCTATGATTATTCTTCTAGAACAATACCTAATTGGCTTATTTGGATAAAATATCTTTCATGGATGTATTATTCAAATGAAATGGCTTTAATTAATCAATGGAAAGATGTTCAATCACTTGAATGTAATCAAAAAGATAATACAACTTGTTATCATAATGGTACTGATATTATTAATTATTATGGTTTCAATAAAGTATGTAAAAAGAAAATTTTTCTCAAACTATATTATATGAATATTATTTTTTAGAACAATTATTATCGTAATTTGGGTTTACTTTTTGCTCTTTTCGGTACTTTTCAAATTATTAGTCTTGTTGTTTTGTTATTACGAGCAAGATTTCAACGAAAAGCTGGATAAATATTTACATTAAATTGTTTATTTCTGATATTATATTGATTTTGATTTGTTGTACAAACTATTTATAAATAATCACGAATTCTCCATAATAAATGGCCTACTTCTGTATCAATGCAAGGATATACTACTTATCCATTTGTTTTTTGACTAACTTTTATGTCCATATGTTTAAATACTAGAAGCTGTCATCGCTATAAGTTCTTTTTAAATTAATTTACGAGATGAAATCCGAAGAATTTCGAAAAATAGTAGTGCGAATGACTGATGATGTGATATCATCGTATCATATTGCTAAACAATTACCAAAGGTGATCTTCGATCGTACAATCAGATAATGACAACATTTATATAAAACAACAGACGAAAATTGATTTGAAAACAGCTGTTGATAGATTCAGAACTATACGAACAAAATACATCATCCCTAAGGTATAGCATAGGTTTATTTTTAAAAAAACTACGAAGTGTAAGACAATTGGATAAATCACCTGAACTTAATTATATGCAAAACAAATAGTGTAGGTGAAATTTTTTGAAGTTTTACAAACATCAGATTGTATGCACAATCATGCACAGATTAAATATGTTACTAAGAAATTAGATAGAAGAATAGACACTATCTGTATTACTTTCTATAATCATATATTGATTACTAAACCATAATATCCCGTATGCAGTTCGAAACAAAATTTCATGTATAATTTTTATAGAACACGACTTTTTATATAATCTTACACGAATTCGAAAGATCGACCAGTAAAGTCTTAAATGAACTTTTAAAAATCAGCGCAAGATCTTACCGTCCCATTGTTTGATTTAAGTTGGCTTGAAAATGATTTTTAGTTTGGTTAGACATTAGACAAATACATTGTTCATGTCGTTCTGACGATTGTAATACATTGGATTACTGTTCACAAAAATATATTCGAAATAAATATTTAAAAAAATGTACACTATCGTCGATTTTAAATTAAAAGTCGTATGTAAAATATCTACATTTTGACAGATCTAATGAAAAAGATATGATTAGGAAGAAGAAACCGAAAGTGTTTGAAAATATGGATGTAGTAATAGCTGTTGTAATATATACATTCTGTAACGTTCAACAAGATGATTACTTTTATGTCATGTAATCGACATGCAGAGATACAAATATAAAACTATTCACATTTTATTGATTAAGATAACTGAAACATTAGATTGAGCATTGTATTAAGGACATGTCAAAATTATTGAGATTCATATTATATCATAGTCAGAGAAACTTGTTAGAGAATTCTTTTTTTATACATACGTATAATATTATTAATGCTCTATCTGTATCTATTGTAGAATAATTATTAGAATGAAATTATTTTATAAAAAAAAAACTCCAATAGCAGTTATGTACTCTTATTTCCAAACGAATAAAAGAAAATATTTGTTTTCACATAAAAAATGTGAACCTCGTTCTTGATAAATTATATTCTGCTTACGACAACGAACCTCTATCATATAATACAAATGCAAAATGGTTAAAATGGTTTTATGAAAATTACGAAGAAATCAAACATGAGACATAATTTTTCTAATCTATAATGAAGATGTCATCTGAAAATATTGATTAAGTCCATTGTCTTATTGGTGATGATATTCATCGCGTGATTGACGAAATTAAAGTGAACAATCCTATGATCAGTAATACTATTAAATAAATCAATTTTGAGCTTTTGAGATTAAGAAAATAAAATACTGCTCTTTGAATCCCTAAAAACAGTTAACTGATACTCGACGTGTTGAGTAAATCTAAATAAGCAAAGATTTTACAAAATTTGAACACATAGCATGGCGATGATGTGATCTGATACATGTGCTGTCAAATATCGTTATAGCAATACCAAACTGCATGAATCATAAAGATATTTATAATTATCTTAAATCAACAGATTTCCACAATTGTTGGATAACCATCAAATTTTTTCAGACCTGTCAGTGCATTATTTTTGGCTATATGATTCCGCCCAATGGAACTTAATCAAACAGCAGTACAACTAAGAATGATTGTATTGTATTGCGACGAAGATACTCAGTATGTTAAGTAAAGATAAATTAAATAAAACACATTGAACCGTCGACTTAAAGGAATGTGAATGTGTGTAAATAATCAGGGTTATTTTGACTAACTTGTTTCTAGGTTTGTTTATCGACGAAGTCTCGTTACATTCGTTATATCTGAAGTACTAATGTTTACATTTGATATTTTTGAAGCCGGATAATTGCAAATTATCGGATTTTTATATACAAACATTAGCTATATCACCATTCAACACAGAAAATTTACTAGAACGTGTCAAAAGAAATATTAATAAAAGAAATGACAACACTTTTTTCGTTACTTAACTTCATTGGTTATTATGCCATTCGTCTGTTGATACGTTTAAAAATCCATTTGAATTTCGTCTTCATTTTATTTTTATCTATAATTATTGATATTCTTTTCTTGCACTTAGATTATAATCAACAAGCATTTCAAAACATATCATCAATTATACTTATACTTATTATTAATATTACATTTTCAACTGTACAAGATAATACTGATGTAATTTACAATAAAATTTTTTTACTTTATATTGATATTTTATTTTAGAGATATGGTCGATAATTATTATTATTTTCAAAAAGAACATGATGATGAAATCTATCGTACGATATCGTATTAGGTGTCAAAATTTCTTGTAGAAGTATCTACATATGCATTATCACTGTTTGTTTAGGAAACTATTGTTTATTGAATGGTAAATGTATATAATAATGTTAGAAGATTTTTTTTAATTTTTATTTTACAAGATATTCTTATTTTATGTACTTTTGTTTCACTCTCTGTGGATAAGTCAAATAGAATAAACAAAACTTATTGTATTTAAAATATAATATTCTATTAGGAGCGATAATAGGGTCACTTCGACATCGTTTGATATTCCCAATGCACCTGCTGTTCCAATTGTTATTTCACTTCGTGTCTTTGGTGGCTTTTTCATAGATACAAAGTAAATTAAAATGAAATAGAATACTGAGAAACTAATACTATTGTCTTTCTTTTTCTAGAACAATACCTAATTGAGTTCTTTGGATAAAATATCTTTTATGGTTTTATTATTTAAATGAAATAGCTTTACTTAATAAGAAGATGTTGAATTCCTTGAGTGTGATCAAACAGGTGATACAACTTGTTTTCTTACTGGTGATGATGTTATTAATTATTATGATTTCAGAAAAGTATGTAGAAAGAAAATTTTTCTCAAGTTGTATTATATCAGTATTTCTCGTTTAGAGCAATTATTATCGTAATTTAGATTTACTTTTTTTCTTGGTTTTCGACTTGTTAATCTTGGTATTCTTATATTATGAACAAAATTTCAACGAAAAAACTGCATAAATATTTAATATACATTGTTTATTTCTATTTTTATGTATGCATTTTGATTTGTTCTATAAACGATTCATAAATAGTACTAAAAGAAGTATAGGGAAAAAAATATATTCTCTTCTTGGTATGTTATGTATCTGTATAATCTATAACTATTTATTATCATCATATTATCAACGGGTTTCTTTCCGCACTTTGTCTATTTGTCAGAAGAAACCAATAAGAATTTATATTTCTTCTCGTATTTTTTTGGTCAAGGAACTTTTTCTGTTTTTGTTAGAAAGAACTTCAACAATATTGCACGTCGAATAGTAAGGTAATATTTCAATAAAATATAGGTATACTCAAACAACTGCTTTTTTTCTTTCTGATTTGTCTTCACTATTTCTAACATTGAAAAATATTAGGCATGCCCATATACATAAGTAAATGACTCCATCTCTTACCTTACATTCTTCTCATTCTTTTTTCTTCCTTTCTTTTGCTCTTACTCTCTGTCACATCGATTTGCATTATATATAGCCTTGATTTTGCGTATGTACGATGATGATCATCATCATCATCTCACATGTACACATATATATACATATATATATATATATCTATATATAAGTCATCTAATCGAGAAGGTGAGAGAAAGTACGAGAGCATTACGCGGGCATATTTACGCGCTTCGTTCACTATTCATCTATTTTCTTAGTTTGACTTCAATTTATATTATATATATATATATATATATATAATATACTTCAGATCATGTCTCGTTCCGGTGCTAATAGAAAACAAAGCAAAGCAATTGGAATTGATTTAGGTACAACATATTCATGTGTTGGTGTATTTCAACATGGTAAAGTTGAAATAATTGCCAATGATCAAGGAAATCGAACAACACCATCTTATGTTGCATTTACTGATACTGAACGTTTAATTGGTGATGCTGCCAAAAATCAAGCAGCTATGAATCCATCAAATACAATATTTGATGCTAAACGTTTAATAGGACGACGTTTTGATGATGATACTGTACAAAAAGATATTAAATTATGGCCATTTAAAGTTATTAATGGTAAAGATCGAAAACCATTGATTGAAGTTCAATATAAAGGTGAAAGAAAGGTATGATAACAGAAAAAAAAACAAGAACAATGAATTAAAAAATAAAAAAAAAAGTCAGTACTTTTCTTTATTTTAAATTTAGCTTTTTTCACCAGAAGAAATTTCTTCAATGGTATTAACAAAAATGAAAGAAACAGCTGATGCTTTCTTAGGTACAACGATCAGACAAGCTGTTATTACAGTACCTGCCTATTTCAATGACTCACAACGACAGGTACGAAAAAAACAAACATACAATAGAATCTTAGAAATCAATCAATATATTTCTTTGTACACAATAAGCATTTGTTTTCTACAATAATTCGAAAATATTCGTTTTATTTTCGAATTAGAAACAAAAAAAGAAATATTTCAAATGAATATTACAAAAAAAAAAATCTAATAGATAATCTTTCTCTCTATTAATGAAATCCTATTACATTTAAGTCTTTGAAAGTCCAAAGATACAAAGTATCTTTTTTTGTGGCGAGGAGGAGTAGTCAATGACATAAGCTATAAAAAAATACTTTATATCAAATAGCCTTGTTTATAATATCATTAGCATCTCTTATCTTTGTAACGGTCCATATATGTATATGTGATAACTAACTACCAGTGGTTTTTTTTTTTTTGAAGAATGTCATAATACATACTGATTCATTGTAATTAAGTCCAAGAATAAAAAGTTAACATAAATAGAACGAAATGATATTTGGAGAAAATTATTCTAAATATATATATCCTAAAAATTCAAATAAAATTTTCTCTTGATTAAAAAATAAAAAACATATGAAATCATATTTATTGAATATAATTTATGTAAAATAAATTCTATTATATTTTAAGGCAACAAAAGATGCAGGTACAATTGCTGGTCTTGATGTTCTTCGTATAATAAATGAACCAACAGCTGCAGCACTTGCATATGGTCTTGAAAAAAGACTTCAACGTGATCAAAATATTCTTATTTATGATCTTGGCGGTGGAACATTTGATGTATCAGTTTTAACAATAAGTGGTAGCGATGCTGGTAGTGGTTCTGTATTTGAAGTAAAATCTACTGGTAAGAAAAATTTAATAAAAAAGAAATATTACAAAATAATTTTTCTTTTATTTTTAGCTGGAGATACACATTTAGGTGGTGAAGATTTTGATAATCGTTTAGTACAACATTTTGTTGAAGAATTTCGTCGTAAACATGGTAAAGATATAGCAAAACATACAAAAGCTGTACGTCGTTTACGAAGTGCATGTGAACGTGCTAAACGAACATTATCATCATCAACAACAGCTTCAATTGAAATTGATTCACTATTTGATGGAATCGATTTTAATACACAAATAAGTCGTGCTCGTTTTGAAGAACTTAATATGGTAATTCAAAAGAGAAATATATAAAGATTTTATAATTATTCTTTTTCTTTTTATTGTTGTTTTATGTATTAGGATATGTTTCGAAGTACAATAGGTCCTGTTGAACAAGCACTTCGTGATGCTAAATTACAAAAACATGATATTGAAGAAGTTGTTTTAGTTGGTGGTTCAACACGTATACCAAAAGTTCAACAATTATTATCAGATTTTTTTAATGGTAAAAGTTTAAATAAAAATATTAATCCTGATGAAGCTGTTGCATATGGTGCTGCTGTACAAGCTGCTATACTTACAGGTATTTCAAAAGAGAAAAACAAAACAAAAGCAAAGAAAATTTAATTTATTTTTATATATTTAAAATTTTAGGTGATCAAAGTGAAATGATTAAAGATGTTTTACTTATTGATGTAACACCATTATCAATGGGTATTGAAACAGCTGGTGGTATTATGACAAAATTAATTGAACGTAATCAACGTATTCCATATAAAAAAGCACAATTATTTACAACATATGCAGATAATCAAGTTCGAATAAAAGATTAAAATAATAAATTAAATTCTTTTATTTTATTTTGTTTTTATTTTAGCCAGCAGTTACTATTCAAGTCTATGAAGGTGAACGTTCAATGACAAGAGATAATCATTTATTGGGTAAATTTGATCTTGAAGGCATTCCGCCAGCACCACGTGGTGTACCACAAATTGAAGTTACATTTGATTTAGATGCAAATGGTAAGAGATAAAAAAAACAAAAAGATTAAATGAAATTTATTTATTTTTAATGCAGGTATTCTTCATGTAACTGCTGAAGATAAAAGTACAGGACGAAATAAAAGAATTGAAATTAAAAATGATAAAGGACGTTTATCACAAGCTGAAATTCAACGTATGGTTAATGATGCCGAAAAATATCGTGAAGAAGATGAACAAGCACGTGAACGTGTCAATGCACGTAATCGTCTTGAAACATATTTATATTCATGTAAACAAGCTGTAGAAAATTATAATGGTTCAGCTATAACAGATTCTGATAAATCAACAGTTTTAAATGCTTGTGATGAAGTACAAAAATGGTTAGATAGAAATCAATTAGCTGATAAAGATGAAATTGAACATCATTATTCAGAATTAGAAAGAAAATGTCAACGTGTTATGACAAAAATGCATGGTGGTGGTAGTAGCAGTGGTGGTGGTGGTGGTGGTGGTGGTTCTGATAGACAACAGTATAATCGAAATGAAAGTCATAGTGGATCTGGTGGATATTCTGGTCCACGAGTAGAAGAAGTTGATTAGAAAATAATTACTGGTTTTTGTCTTTTTCTTTTTCTTTTGGAACTTTTTATATTTGTTCATTAATCATTGACATTGATTTATTATTTAGTGTTTTAATAGACGTATATGGACGTATTTTTTAAACAAATGACTTTTTTGTCAATAAAATTTTTAATGAGATCTCGTCGTCAGGAATACTTATGAGGAAATTACAACTATTGTAATCGGCTGTTCGAACTCATATTGGACCAATAAAGAAGACTAAAAAAACAATCTAAAAAAGTTTATCTTCATGAGCCTTTGAAGTCGCGTTATGACTGTTGTACGAAATGTTTAACACCATGTTTAAGTATTTACTGGAAACTCAAATAATGAAATTTTGCTTATAGATAGGTTTGATGATCATTGGAATATTCTTTTATAGAGATATTAAGTTTTCATAAAATAGTCGTTTGTTAGAGACATGTCACAAAAATTAAGTTGACTTTAAAATCCAATATCTTGACAAAGGAACATTGTTTTTGGATGAAATTTTCAGATTATTCTTAGAGTCATTAGATCTATCTATGAGTAAAATTTCAGATCAAATTTCTGTTATTGAATTTTTCAGTAAATACTCAAAAATGAGTTGAAAATTCAGTATACAAATTATAACTCGGCTGCAAAGACTCATGGAGACGAACTCTTTTAAACTTTTTCTACTGGTACCGAGTTCTTCTTGTAGATTCACCATGTCGTATAGATCTCTCAGGGAAAATTTCTCTTTATATCTATGTATATATACTGATTGTTTAAACAGTGCTCTACAGCTTGATTACGTTATTTTTGATAATTTTGTTCAGTTTGCTGTATTTATACAAAAAAAAAATCTTAGAGATTTCTTATTTTGATATAGTTGGATGAAGCATCATTAACACTACAAAACTATGTAGTTTTCATTTAGTTTACTTTTCATGTTGTACAGAAATCTTCTAAATTTCGAAAATCGATGAAACAAATCTTTTGCACGCTCATATTTTAATGAGATTAAATTTTTTAATGATGAAAATTACTTCAAATTGGACTAAGTGATGATCTATTCAGCTATATATCAAAGAAAAAGAAAAAGCTCAGATGTTTTAAACAATCAAAATTCGTATAACGAACATTCGACAACTAGCCATGAAAAGATTTGCCAGAAAAATCATGAAGTCTATGATAACAACAACAAAACAACTCCAATTAAGAATACGTATTTCAATATAAAAATGAATGGCCTATTGTTTAAACAAAACGAAAACTATATGATTTAGTATAGAGTGAATGACACCAACATCCAAAGTTTGATATAAATACATCAAACAGAAGACAGCTATCAAATATAATATAATCTAGCTGTATAACGAATAACTGGAAAGTTTTTAGACAATATGTTTGTTCGCTTTTGATCCGCTAGAAAGTATTTCCGATGAGATTTTATGCTCTTTTCGAATATGATCTTAGGAATTTTGTGCCTATTTTTATTTAAGAATAGTGAAGGACTTTTTGAAAGACCTGAAAAATTATTTTTAATGGTGAATCAACAGAGCTTTGTTTACTCTATAAGACAAAATGCATTTTGTAGGGTAATTTCTGATCTACAAGCTGATATATAAATAAAGATCCCAACTTTTTAGTTTCAAATTGCAATAGTGGAAATATAAAAATCTCCCGTCCAAACTAATTTTTTTTTTGGTTTTTCAAAGATTATTTCCGTACTCTCAAATAAAATTTCTCAGCCGATATTTGAAAACAGTATCCTAACTCATCGAAAATACTTTCTAGTGGATCAAAAGTGAAGAAACATCTTGTCTAATCCGATCCCCCGTTATTTTCTCTATATTTCATCAGTCTTTTATTATAACTCAGATCCATTTGCAATTGTAACGATTGCCATTAATAAAACAATAGAGTTATTCTATAGTTTCATATGTTGCCTTAATTATAGATCTTTTAGATTGTACTTCGTCTTCAATTTCTCTGATCATCAAAAAAGAGAATGTAGCTCTCCCTGAATAGGGTACGGGTTGCATACTTTAATATAACAGCAAAAAATATATACATATATTTATTTAATACAAAGTTGAATATCTTTCATCGGCATTTTACTATTATCATATCAGCTGAAGAGATATACAACACTATTTCTGCTATCAAAATGTATATCTAAAGAGAAATTCTCCTTGAGCTTTCCACATGATACAATATTGTCAGTGTCATTACGTGTGATATATTCTAAGTAAACAATGAATTTTCTTATGTCTAATCACTGAATTTCATGTGACCTTGTACATATGACAATGTTTAAAGGAATTATATGAAAAATAAAACATTTGTGATGCTATGATAACGAATTTCTTTTTTTTCTTTTTAAACAACAACGTTGTAACAGAAAAACAAACAAGAAAAACAAATAAGTAGTACAAAATTATTTGTTTTTCAAACGTTTCACACTTTTCTTATGATAACGCTCTTTTGCGCCTAATTTTGCACCACGATTTGCACCTCGTTTAGCAGCACCAACAATTTGTTCAAATTGACCTTTAAATTTGCCTCGTTTTCTATTATAAAATAAATAAATAAAAACAAAATAAAATTTAGAAATTTTTATTACCTTTTATTAAGAGAATTAAAATCAAGTTTTATATAAGCATATGGATCATGTTTATTAGCTACTTTTCGATCACCACCCGAACCACGCTATTCAAAAAGAAACAAATGATTATAAATTAATAATTGTTTGTTTTTATACCTTAGCTTTATATATATTTCCTGGTCGTTGTTGTTGTTGTTTAGATGATTGATTTAATGTTCGATGAATACCACCACCACCAGCTTAATAGAAGAAAAAAAAATATGTATATAAGAATTAAAGAATTTCCGTTTTCGTTAGAATTACTTCGATATTTTGAATGAACACTTTGACTTTGTTTATCATTAATTTGATAATCATCATCATCGTCACCATCATCATGATCATCATCAAAAGTACGTTTACGTTTATTTTTTGTTCGTTGACTTAATGATAATGTTTCCATTAAACCTTTTAAATCTTCACGATTAAGATCATCTGCATCATCATCATCGTCGTCATCATCTAATTTTTGTTGTTGATTTTCTTCATCGTCAATATCGATTACAAGACGACCATCAGGTGCTGTACGAAAATGTGAATTACGTCGTTTTGCTTTTATTGCTTGTTTCATAGCTTCAGTTTCACGTGTTGTTAATGGTTTTGTTGCTAAAATTAATAACAAGTTAAAAGAAGCGAACAAAAAAAAAACATTGAAAAGTCAAATATACCATAGATACTTCTTGCTGCTGTTGGTTCAGTTAAATCAATAGGATCATCACCTTGACTTTCTTTTATCCATAAAGCTGATTGTTGTCGTCGTCGTTTTGTACTTGCTGTTGTTCGTGTTGTTGCTATTGTTCGTACATCATCTATTCTATCAAGATTTTGTTCATTATCATCATCAGAATCATCAAGTAATTGATCAATAGTAAGTTTTGGTCGAACAGTAAATGTTGTTTCATTATCATCAACATATTCATCTTCATCATCTACTTTTGTTATAACACTTTGACCAATTGTTGATGTACCTTTACGACGTCGTTCTTTACGAATATGCATTTTATTTATATAAGATAATTGAGCATGGAAACTAGCTGGAAAAAGATCACGTAATGTATCAAACCTGAAAAGAAAATGATTTTAATTTATTCGTTGATAAATATCAAAGTAATAGAAATGAGATTTTTTTTGTCTCTTCGTACGGGATTTAAATCCTTACTTCTGAAGAAATTGTTTCATTGGAAGGTTTTTTTTCTGCAGCAAAAATGACTGAAAATTTCATGCGCTTTTAATATGATATCACTTTAGAAAATTAGATCAATATGATGATAGGATTTTATAATTCGCATGTGAACACACTATAAATGAACTTCACTATTACAGGATAAACTTCTTCAAATTTTAATCCTGTTTTCAAAAGGAAAACAACAAATAGAAATAAGCGTAACACTTTGTTTTATACTGTCGCTTCTCACAAGAGGTGTTCATAGTAGCGCTGTAGTAGTAGGTTTCCAGTCGCGATGAATATCTATACTTTTTGTAAAATGGTTGTGCAGAATTTTAAGATAGAGACATGCCAAAATAACTTCAAGTATTCGTACTTCAAATTGAGATATTCAAGAAATTCATATTTATTTTTCATTATACGAGTATTCAAGACAATCACAAGTTTTTGTGGAGCATGATTTAAAAGAAGTGATTAAGTATAAAGATAGAAACTTGAACCCTTCACAGGTCGTATATGAATAGAGCGTCTTGTACTAATGCTTAAACTACTTCATTGTTGCATTTCTGGAGAGAATGATGAAGAGATATATCCCAAAATAGATAGAATAAAACAATCTCCCTGTGAGTAGTAACTGCATCGTGTTTTATATTTTAATCTTGCAAGGAGTATGCTAATAGCTTGATTTTTTTTAAAACTATTTAATCACAGAATCAAAAAAATTTCCATACGAACCCAAATATTTTGACTAGTTTTTGTAAGATTAATTTAAATTTTGAACGAAATGTAAAATTATTTTCATCACGCATTATTGTTAATGAACGAGCCTTAAAAAAAAAGTTTAGCACAAATTCTATTAATTAAATAATTTACCAATTGTTCAATATATTTTGATAGAACAGTTGTATGAAGAATAATAAGTAAAACACGACAAAAACTTAAAGCTGATTGAACAACTTGTCTTTCTTTTGATTGAAGAACAAGTATTAATGTTGATAAAAGTTCATCAACAATAGATCCAGCTAAATTTTCTCGAAATTCCAGACATAAACGACTTATAGCAAGTAATGTTGCTGATAACATTGATGGTGAATGTGAACTAACAAGACCAGCCATAAGAAAATGAAAAAAACTTGTCAAAGAATCTAAAAATAATAAAAAAGAATAAATCTATATAAATAAATTTTAAATATCACATTAAAC